AGGGAAGCACTGGAGACGACTCCGAATAACCTATGACACTCCCATATCACCCAGGTGTCATCTTTAACAGTTGGGTGAGGCTAGCCCAAGGGTCTAGCTAGCAAACACGTATTCTCATATATATATATATATATATATATATATATATATATATATATATATATATATATATATATATATATATATATATATATATATATTATCATCTTTTACACGAAGAAAAATCGGATGTGAGTCATGTGATAGTGGGGGGACGACCCGTCGCTCACATCAACAAAAGCGTGACAACACATAAGAGTGATGGACCACTGTGATAGAGGACGCGAGCTGCACAAGACTCACGAGGAAGGATAACAATAAGACTAATACCCTGAAATGTTTCACTGTTCTCCAGCCAAGAAAAAAAAAAGACCAAGGCAGAAGCTTGAGATTAATGGTCATAAGAGAGTCGTGCTCAGTGCACAAAACTGGCTCGACTGAACGCACAGTTTTCCTTCCCTTGTGTCCAAATTACCTCAACAATAATTTCGTATATCGTGAGTAAATTTGTCGAAAATAATAATTAAACTTTTAAATTCCCATTCAATAAGTAACCGACTAGGTCATCTATAAAGTTCAATTCTCACATGCAGAGACTCACTATGTATGTAATGCCAACACCAGCACGGTATTGCCTTTATAATTTCCCGCGGGTCCTTTCAGCCTGGCAGGTGAAATGCAATAGGACATAAACTGGCCATTATTTACCCTGGTGTTAGGCGACGGAGAAGTGTTGTACACACACATTGTCGAGCACTCACATCTAGTGAAAGAACCCCAGAACTTCCTTAGACCAGGGGGCCAGATTCACGAAGCAGTTACGTACGTACTTACGAACGTTTTTCTTCTTAGCAACTTCGTAACGGCTACGTCGGTATTCAGGTAGGCATTTAAGAAGGAAAATCTTCGTAAGTAAACACCGTCGCATTAAGAACGCTCTCGACCACTCATAGCTTTACGTAAACTGGATATAACTCAATTTTTCTCCACTACACAAACGGGATGATTGATTTTATTATAAACATTTTTGCTGGCGAGTCTCATCAAGGAGGAGTCCTTCGTGTTAGTTATATATAGGTATTCTCTGCTTGAAACTTGTAGTAAATATGTATTTTATGATATTAGAATTAGTTTTATAATAGCAAGATATTATACCAGTAGTTATTAAGTAAATAAACACTGGTGAACATGAAATATGAGAGTAGGTGATGATCCCGGGCTGGTGGGAGCATTTACTATCACCAAATGCTCCTGTTCACCTAACAAGTATAGTTAGGGGGTGTACCTTAGCTATACACACCCAGCTTGGGTAAAGAATTACTTAACAGGCAGGAGCCTGAGAGTAACAGTCAGGGGCGAGAAGTCAGACTGTCTTGAGGTAACGAGTGGAGTACCTCAAGGATCGGTGATAGGACCAGTTCTATTTCTAATATACGTGAACGACATGTCTACAGGGGTCGAGTCCTATATGTCGATGTTGGCGGATGACGCGAAATTAATGAGACGAGTTTTGACAGATGAGGAATGTAGGATACTCCAAGAAGACTTGAACAAGCTACAGAGATGGTCAGAGAAATGGCTACTGGAGTTCAACACGAACAAGTGTAAAGTTAAGGAAATAGGAGTAGGTGATAGGAGACCAAAGGGTCAGTACACAATTAAGGGAAACTACGGTTCTGTGACTAATCAAGAAAGGGACCTGGAAGTGGACGTAGCACCAAATCTAACTCCTGAGGCACATATAAATATGATAACGACAGCAGCGTACTCTACGCTAGCAAAAGTTAGAACGTCACTCAGAAAACTAAGTAAGGAGGCATTCACAGCGCTTTACACTGCCTACGTGAGACCAGTCTTAGAGTATGCAGCCACATCATGGAGTCCCCACCTAAAGAAACACATCAGGAAACTGGAAAAGGTTAAAAAAAAAAAGTTGCGGCGAGGTTAGTCTCGGAGTTGCATTGGATGGGATATGAAGAGCGATTGAAGGAACTGAACTTGACGAAGTTAGAAAAAAAGAAGGGAGCGGGGAGATATGATAGCAGCATACAAAATACTTAGGGGGGGGGATTGACAGAGTGGAAATAGACGAAATGTTCACACGGAATACCAACAGAACGAGGGGACATGGGTGGAAGCTGGAAACTCAGATGAGTCATAGAGATGTTAGAAAGATTCTTTTAGCGTGAGAGTAGTGTGGAAATTAAATGAATTAAAAGAGCACATTGTGGAAGCAAACACTACTCACAGATTTAAAACTAGGTATGATAGAGAAGTAGGACAGGAGTCATTGCTTTAAACAACCGAAGGCTAGAAAGGCGGGATCCAAGAGCCAACGCTCGATCCTGCAGACACAAAAAGGTAAGTACACACACACCAAACACAATATGCATACTTCATTAAGTCGAGGATGTCTGTCACAGGATCAACCTTAAGCCAATTAAGTTTAAATTAGGCTCGCCTGGTTTATCTCTAAAGTCCTGAGTACCGTTGAAGGCTAACTGCCTGTGGTGCCCTCGGAACTACACTGGAACACTGAGGGTAGTGAAGCACACTGTAGGGGCCCTCCACTGAGGCGCTAGCTCACATCTTTAACTTTGTGCGGGTTCCGGGGATCAATGTTCCCGCACCCTGTCACTGACATGGCCTCCTGGTTGGTGGTCTGGTCAACCAGGCTGTTAGACACTGCTGCTTTGCAGTCTGACATGATTAACAGTCCCCGTTGATCGGCTATCCTTTAGAGGTGTTTCTTAGGTTCCATTTTGAACACCTTGAGACGTCGGGTAGTTATGCCCTTTATGTTTAGAGGAAGTGTTGGCTCTTTATGTTGATATAAACATAAAGTAGACCTTATTGACTTATATTAGTGCATTCCCCCCACACCATACACCCCAGCAACCCTCCCCATACACCCCCCAGCAACCCTCCCCATACACCCCCCAGCAACCCTTCCCATACACCCCAGCAACCCTCCCCATACACCCCCCAGCAACCCTCCCCATACACCCCCCAGCAACCCTCCCCATACACC